AAAACCACTCCAATTTGTAAAAACCGTAAAAACTACTCTCATCCGTTGTTAATCTTATGAAATTTTTTCATGAAATTGTTAATCTTGTGAAATTGTTTCATATAATACTTTTTTTGATAAAGTTGTTTCATATGTGCTTATGAAATTGTTTCATATACTACTTAATGAAATTTTAAGAAAACTGTTTCATGTATTTTTTTAAAATTAAAATAATGAAGATGATAATATCCATGATTAACACCCTCCACAATAAAAATGGTTAATCAACCTCTCATAATTACAAAAAAATGAACAAAATGAAAAATTATGATTGGATGAATGAGGTTTTTACGGTTTTTACAAATTGAGTGGTTTTTATTTGAACCCACCCATATATATATATATATGGAAAAGTCCAAAAAAACCCAATGGACTTTATTGTTTGGAATGATTAAGTCCTTGGACAATTTTTTGGAACAAATAAATCCTTGGACATTCTAGAATCTATTAAATAACTCCTTAGACTTTTTAAAACATGTTAAATAAATCCTTATACTTTAAAAATATAACTTATAACCTGAATAGGAGGTAAACATTGAATTAAAAAAAAAAAAAAAACCTAAAAAACCCCTAAAACATAAGAACTCCCCATCACCCACTTCTCCCTCTCCTCCACACCACCGCCTCCTTCTTGCTGCTTGATGCCCACGTCTTCTCCCTCTCCTCCACACCACCGCCTCCTTCTTGTTGCTTCATACCCACACACCACCGCCTCCTTCTTGCTGCTTCATTCCCACACACCACCGTCTCCCTCTCCCTATGCTTTAAATGATTTATTTTTTCTCTCTCTCTCCTCATTTTCCCGCTACTCATAATCATCTGAATCTGGCTCCCTATGCATCTTTCATTACTCCCTTCCACCATTCCCTAAATCTTCGGTAAACCCTAGCAAAGGTCGGTTACATTTCAAAAAATTTCAATGCTGATTACTGTGTAGGTTTTGCTGTATCAGAAACAAAATTTCTGTGTTTTTTTTCCATTTAGTTCTTCAATTTTATTGTTCATTTGACGGTTGCAAAGCTTAATGTTGGTCTCAATCTCAATTCAATCGATGATTGATTGGAAAAAAATGGGGTTTGAACCCTAGAAATCAAACGCTAAGTAGGGTTCGTTTGTTCTGAAGTTATTTGTTTCTTATTGATTTTTAATCGATCAATCAGTTGCAATGCGGATTGATTGAATGGTTATTAGTCTGGTATAGTAGTGCAGGAATCGGTGTTTTTGATTTTTTTTTATGAAGTCAAGGAGATTTAGATAATCAATTGATTGAATTAAATTGTTAGTGAAATTTCAGTTTTCAAGCTTGTTTTTTACCCGAATGTTGAGAAAAATGTATGACTTTGGATCGGCGTGTTCGTTAATTGACTCTAATTAGCGATGGCATCTAGTTCAATCATTGTTCTTTCGATTTTTTATGAATGCTGTTAATGTTGTATCTATTTTTTTCTCAACTTTTTGGTATATTTTTTGGTAAAATTAGGTTCAAAATTTGTATGCAAATTATTATGCTTTTGATACAATTTTTGTATGTTTTGTGAAGAGTAATGAAAATGATATATTTGTTTTTTTTTTATAAATGTAAGTACTTTTTTCGTTCAAAAAATGTTTAAGGATTTGATCGTTCAGAATATGAAAGTCGATTGGTTTTTTTTAGACTTTTTCCACTAACAAAATGTATTTAACAGATTTTAGAAAGTTCAAGGAATTATTTAACAGGTTTTATAATGTCCAATGACTTATTTAACANTTATTTAACAGGTTTTATAATGTCCAATGACTTATTTAACAGGTTCTAAAATGTCCAAGGATTTATTTGTTCTAAAAAATTGTTCAAGGATTTAATCGTTCCAAACAGTAAAATCTATTGGGTTTTTTTGGACTTTTCCCATATATATATATATATATATATATATATATATATATATATCAATTAATCGGTATTTTTTCTGTTTTAAATTAATTAACCTTAAAAAAAATCAATTTATGTCGATTTCTTGATTTCAAATCATCCACTCTTTCTTGGTATTTTCCTAAAATTTATCATTGATTATGGTGTCCGACATATCTCATTGGTGACCCCACATGGAACCAATATGAATATAGGACATTGAATTACGTAACCACCTAATTAATAGATGATATTTGAGTGTGGAATCTTGCATACAGATTTGGAAGTAAGAAATGGCTTCATCGGAAAATATGGTTGATGAACAAATCCGACCACAATCCTACTGGAGATGGAGCAAACAAGATTTCTTCCCGGAAGAATCTTTCCGGGACTGGGGTACCTACCGCTACGCCTTATCTCACACTTATTCCAGATTCAAGGATCGTCTGCTTACCCGTTCTCAAGATTCCGACGAGACAGACAAGTTGAGGAAGGAGAGTGAGAATGACATGAAACGCTGTCTCAACTGGTGGGATTTGATGTGGTTTGGGTTCGGTGCAGTGATTGGCGCCGGAATTTTTGTTCTTACCGGCCAGGAAGCCCGTAACAACGCCGGACCAGCTATTGTGTTATCTTACGTAGCATCTGGAGTGTCGGCGATGCTTTCTGTTTTCTGCTACACGGAGTTCGCGATAGAGATTCCGGTGGCCGGTGGTTCGTTTGCGTACCTCAGAGTAGAACTGGGAGATTTCGCGGCGTTCATCACCGCCGGAAACATTCTTCTTGAATGCATTCTTGGAGGTGCGGCGGTTGCTCGATCATGGACGTCGTACTTCACCACTCTTATAAACCGTGAATCGAATTCTCTGAGAATACAAACAAACCTTGCAGAAGGATACAACCTCTTGGATCCAATTGCCGTCGTGGTGCTGGTAATTGCAGCCACCATTGCAATGAGCAGCACGAGAAGAACTTCATCCCTCAATTGGATCGCATCCGCCGTTAACACCATTGTCATCCTATTCGTCATCATCGCAGGGTTTTCTCATGCCGACACTTCGAACATGAAACCGTTTGCACCTTATGGCGCAGAAGGCGTCTTTCGAGCTGCAGCAATTGTGTATTTCGCTTATGGAGGATTCGATACCATCGCCACCATGGCCGAAGAAACAAAGAACCCATCTAGAGACATACCTCTGGGATTACTTGGCTCTATGTCGATCATCATTATAATCTACTGTCTGATGGCACTTTCGTTAACCATGATGCAAAAATACTCGGATATCGATCCGAATGCAGCCTACGCGGTTGCATTTGAGCGAGTTGGCATGAAATGGGCCAAGTATCTGGTGGCTCTAGGTGCACTCAAGGGTATGACCACGGTTCTATTGGTTGGTGCACTTGGTCAAGCTCGTTATATAACTCATATCGCACGAGCCCACATGATTCCACCCTGGTTCGCTTTGGTCCATCCGAAAACAAAAACTCCAATAAACGCTACTCTCTTGGTCACCATTTGCAGTGCCTTTATAGCATTCTTTTCGAGCTTGGATATCTTGGCCAGTTTACTATCCATAAGCACACTCTTCATCTTCATGATGATGGCCGTTGCACTTATCGTGAGGAGGTATTACGTAAAAGGGGTGACTCCACGAGCAAGTTTGCTGAAACTGGTGGGGTTTTTGCTGATCATAATCGGGTCATCCATGGGGATGTCAGCAAGCTGGGGGTTAGACCCTAGTGGTTGGGTGGGTTACACGGTGACTGTGCCTTTATGGTTCATGGGAACACTTGGGATGGCGGTGGTTTTGCCGCAACAAAGGAACCCAAAAGTGTGGGGAGTGCCGATGGTTCCTTGGCTGCCGTCACTGTCGATCGCCACCAATTTGTTTCTGATGGGATCGCTGGGGTATGAAGCTTTTATACGGTTCGGGATCTGCACGGTGATTATGCTGCTTTATTATGTGTTGTTTGGTGTTCATGCGACTTACGACATGGCACATCGGCAACCTGAATCGGAACAGAAAGCAACGATTCTGGATGAAGATGGTGTCGGAAAAGCATAGCTGTAGCGCAGACATGGAACACAACACAACCCTCCAATAGAAGCTGTGGTTTGATTATATATACTTATACAAATGTATTGAAGGATGTATATGATATAAGAAAATTAATTGGAGGTGTTGTATTCAGAAGAAGAATTTCCGATGATGTTGGTATAAACGTCTTCCCCTCCAAAACCTGTATTATTTTGCTTTCCTACCATTAGGCGATGATACACCTCGTTATGCGAGTCGATTAATCCCATGGCGACCACTTGCTTTGCAGATAGTTCGAAGTCACTGTATTTGAACTTTTGTGGCCACAAGGGGACTTTTATTCCTCATTGAATTTGCAACCTGAGACCTCCTAGTACTTTTGACCTTTGGAGCCTAGCTCAAACCAATCAGGCACCACCCTTGTGGTTACAGTGGTGTACTAATGTAATGTGAAATCAGCAATACAGGCCCAAATTAACCAAAAATGGATTAAACACTGATTTTTATGAAATTTTTAAGAACACAAATTTTTTTTTTTTAAAAACACAAAAAGTAATAGATCTCTCAAACTAAAGATGAAATCACAAAACTTAGTGAATAACAAAGATTCACCAGACAATTACGCACACTTTGATCTTGATTTTAACATAAAAGCATAAAATTTTGAAAATTTTTCGGATCAAACTCTCAAAAACATGAAGAACATGAGATAAACACGTTGAGATTCCAGAAAATTTCTTAAAAAAAAAAAATTCAAATTTGTTGATTTCTTGCACAACCTGCTCTGATACCAATTGAAAGTCCCTGAAATGATCAATCTTCAATCTTCAACTAAGAATCCATGGTAAATTTGTATGAACTTGTAAAAGCACTTGAAAGAGACGAGATAATTAGTCAACAAGTCAAGATTTATTATGTACGTATTGTTTTACAATTGAGCTCTCACCAATTACACTAAAGATAAAACCTATATATAGGGTCAAACAACAACCATCATAAGTCAAAGTCAAACTATACATACAAAGTCAAACACGATGTCTATACAATTATAGACAAATATTGTCTTTCAAAACGAATACAATTTAACACAGAAATTCAAACCCAACAGTATCTATGTTAGATTCTCATCCAAAAGAAATGATGGTGTTAGTGGCTTGTGGAACCATCATAACAAAAACAAATACTTTATGTGGAATAATTATAAAGACAAACGCATTTGTAATTGTAATCATTTTCAGTTTCTGATTTTGACAAACACATTTGTAATTGTAATCATTTTCAGTTTCTGATTTTGAAATGTAAAAATAAATTTAGTTACAAATATGTATCGAGAATTTTTGTAACTAATTTAAAAAACTTTGTTAACTTTTTTTTTTTGGCCATTTAAACCGAAAAATGAAGTGTACCTAATGAAGTGAGGTATGATTTGAACATAAGATATCTGGATTAACTCCTTCACTGACAAAAGTATGAAACAATGTTCAACAGATTCTTTAAAATGAAGAAAATATGAAAATTTTCAAATTTAAAGAACGCTCCATAAAGTTGTCATAAACATTGAAACAAAAACCATTGGATCAAGATTATATAAAAAAAACCAGTTCACTATTAGGAGCATTAATTATACGTAGATTCTTTTTACACGAATACGAATTTTTTTATAGGAAAAACCACTAAACTTGATGTGATAACAATAGACAACTTTCTCATTGTGGTTGTAGTCGCAAATCCATGAGTTAAAAATCCTACGCTACATAAACAAATTGCAAGAAAGACTGTTAATAAATAACATTCAATAGAGTGTGCAAAAGCA